TGTGTTTATCGGCCGGTACCATATAAAGTTTCCCTAATTTTGGACAAATTAGATGTCTTTCATCATTTTTTGAAATATGTGTTTCTTGAAGACATATTATGTCTGCGTTATGTTGAATAAGTTTTGAAAATATCCTTTTTCTTTTTGATATTGAATTTAATCCATTTATATTGATGGAGAGCAACTTCTTCCCCTCCACCCTTTATCTATGTCTGCTTAGATTTTTGTCTAGTAATAATTCGATTCTCTTCTTGTTGTTGTTGTTGTTGTTGTTGTGGGATTTGCTCTTCTCTCCCAGGTTGTGGTTTATCACTTCCTGAAATTGGAGAAAGTTGTTCCTTTTGGGTTCTGTGACGATATCGGTCCTCCTGTGGTCTCCTTTTAAGTTCTTCTTTAGTGGATTGACCATTCATATCCGTGAGCTGTTGATAAAAGTCTTGGGCCTGTTCTATCGATTCTATTTTGATTTTCCTCTCTTTCCACGTAATTAACATCCCTTCCGGGATTAACCATTTAAATTGGATTCCTTTTTTATTTAAATCATTAGCTAGAAATTTATAATCTTGTCTTATCATCCTCACTTTCTTTGGAATTTGTTTTAAAATCATAATTTCTCTGCCTTTATATGATATCGTTTCCTCCCTAGACATTTTCAAAATTAAATCTCTCAGACATCTCCTAGAGAAGCGGATATGGATTTCTCTTGGGCAGTTGTTGCGTCTGGCATAGCTTGTGCTAACCCTATATACCTCATCAAACTCTTTAATTAGGTCATCTTTTTCTTTTCCTAACCATTCAGCCAATATTTCTGCCATCAAATGTTCCAATTCTTCATTTTTTGCTTCAGACACATTCTGGAACCTTAAATACGCCATTGCTTTGTCCATCTCGAGGTGAACCAGTGAGTCTTCCGTTTCTCTAAGTACATTTTTAAATTCCTCATCCATCCTTTCAAAGTTAGTCTCCATGTGTGTTGTTCTACTCTCTATATCTTTTATTTTCACTTCGTTTTTCTCCATGGCCTGCTGTAGAGACCCTATCTTACCCTCCACCTTCGATATATCCACTTTCATTTCAGCCTTCAGTTTCCCCATCTCATCTTTCAATTCGCTTATATATGCTCTAGTTTCATTGTGATTTTTAATCATCATTTCTTGCATTTTAGATATAGCTTCCTGCAAGGATAATAAGGAAGTTTGTATTTTAATGTTGGGGACATTAGGCTGCTTTTCCCCTGTTAAGGACTCCTCAATAGTTTTTTGAGTTGTTGGTGGGGTGGATGTCAACGTAGTCGATAGAGTCGGGGTAGCCTTCCTTCCTGTTTTTAAGGCCATAGTTGTCGTGGATGTCATCTCTCTAAGTATTTGTTTTTGTTGATGCACAATTTTAGATATATTATCCCAAATCACCATTCAGTGTTTGGGTCTTGTATTTGAAAGTCTATTCACGTATTTCAATTTAATATCTCACTCCACAGTCTTTTCCCCTATATCATAAATAGATATCTACTACAGTATTCTAGTCTATGTAATAAGAAAATTGGTCAGCAATAGTACATCAATTAACACTTTAAGGAATTAATCTGAAATGTCTTAAATGATATAAACTATTTATAAATTAGTTAGACTAACAGAGTTTATCCCTCTTTTCTATTAATACTTACAACAGTAATCTCTTAACTCTATAAAAATAGTATACCCCCCTCTTCCCCCCCCCATAAGTAGAATTATGTAAGCTATTTAGGAGATACTATAGGGAGGCAGGGGGCAAAACAATAAGAGAAAGGGTAGGAGAGAGATTACCACAGCTTCAGAGAATCAACAAACAAAAAGCAAGGAAGTCATCTTAAGGAGAAAGTAGTGCCAAACTAGAAATATTAAGTAGTACCACGTAATAAAGAAAGCAATTTGGGTGAGCTAAAAGTCCATCTTCCAGCTAGAGGATTCTTTTCAGCCTTCCAATCAGCAAATGGTGTAATGTGCTGACTAATCTGCAGTCCCAAAACCGTCTTTCCCAGCCTTCTGTTTGTCTCTGCCTTCTTCCTCTTGCTTCTTCTTCTTTCTTTGCTTTCCAACTTTTAAATCAACATACAAATCTTCCAAAGTCCAATATAATGCTCAGTTTGTCTTCTCCACAATATTAAATAGATGTGATAGTTGTGTTGTGCTCAGATCTGAGGATTCATCAGACTCTATCAATGCCAGTATTCTTTCACCTCAGTCGCCTCCCTTTTCTCAAGTAAAGTCAAAAAGAAAGGTCCAAAAATCAGATGAAGCCCCTCACCAATTCCGGACTTCCAATCTCCTGGTTTTAGCAATCTCCCTCTTTCTCCAGAGCTTCCCTTTCACAGGGCAAAATCTGCGCTTTCACTTTTGTGCTTAGGCTCTTCCGCTCTCCATTATAGTCCTTTCATTTTCCCAACTGCTTTTCTGGCCGCTTTCCGCCCGACTTCTGAAAGGTGCTAATCACAACCAGGAGAGAAGAATTTACGCTGTCATTCTTCTGTCATTCTGCTATCTTCAGTCTTCAAAGGTTCCAAGTTATAAACCGTTTTTCTGTTCCTGTTACTCTCGACCTCGCAGGCTGTCACTGCTTTGCTTATTCACTCAAGTGGCAGACCGGACTTGAAGCCGCCATAGAATGACAGCTTACTCTTTTGCGCCGGGCTCGGGAGCTTCCCTCTTCACTGTCGGGGGGTTGCCTTCCCCACTCTGCCGCTCGAGGTTCTCCACGTTGACACGAACCTCTCCGGGGTTCGTGTATCCCTGGGGGATCGCTCCTGGCGCCAGAAAAGGTGTTCAAAGACTGCAACAGTCTTCTTCACCTCCGTTTGCCCTGTCCTGCCACCGGAAGCTCTCTTAACTATGGATCAAGAGCCACACGCAACCTGATCAACTGTTCAGGATGTGTTTGACTTTCTTCAGAGATCCCACTGACTGATCTCCAACCATGGGATCCAGATAAGAGAGTGGATCTTTCTGATTCCTTCAAATCAGAAGAGTAAACCTGTTGATCAGATGGCAAGTCATCAAAAGTCACTACTTTAGCACTCAGAAGAAATAAGTCTTATGTAATTACGGTTGCAGTCTCTTTCAGTACAGATTTGTTATCTTGCTTGGTAGGGTGAAGACCATGGCAATGGGAGGCTGCCAGAGGTGGTATTCAGCAGGTTCTGACAAGTTCTGGAGAACCTGTAGCAGAATTTTTGAGTAGTTCAGAGAACCAGCAAACACCACCTCTGACTGGAGATTTTACAGTATCCTTACCCAGCCATGCCCACCAAGCCACACCCACAGAACCGGTAGTAAAAAAATTTGAATCCCACCACTGGAGGCTACCCCAGATGTTGGCTCTGAAGACTTTGAGATTATGTATGAGGTTCTTCTCTGTTAGATCAAGTGGCCTAGAGTATACGCAGGTATGAATGTGGCATCCATTTGCAAGTCTTTGATTCAAACGTAAGTTTTTCAGGATTAAGGGACACAGGCGAAGAATTCTTGGGAAAAATTGCAACTTCTTTAAGGAGCTACAGACAGATACTAAGTACGCACTTAAATACACTCTGAAGCACCTTTTAATTTTTAATTCTGAATTAGTACTACTCTTATTTGGGAAATATAGGGCACAGAGTACCTTGTATTCTAAGATATATTGATTAAGCATGTTCATGTACTTCTTCCATACAATAGCTATAATCACAGGCGATTTCATCTATTCATTTATAAACACTGTACCTTTTAGGAAATGTCATCAAGTTTGCCAGCTCATATTTTTATTAATTGAAAGCATTTAATGCTTGGCTCCTCCCCCATTACCATTTTCATTTCTAAATGGCAAGACACAGAGACTATAAGGTACTTGTAATGTTTCATTCTCCAAATCTACAACAGGGTACAGATCTTGTTGCTAGTAACAGGTGCAAGAGTAACCTTTACTGATATGGACAAAATGGTGTTTTAGAGCAGGGGTCTCCAACCTTGGCAACTTTAAGCCTGGCGGACTTCAACTCCCAGAATTCCCCAGCCAGCTTTGCTTTAGAGAATGAATATATTATCTTTCTGCTGTGAGTTGTAGTTCTGTTCTGCGTCCAGTCACCTGCTCTAAAGCATCTTCTTTGCCGTTGAATATAAAGTGATTTTTTTTAGCCTTAAAAACCATTTATTTTTTATCTCCATTCCTAGCAACCCATCTCCCAAACACACAAATAAATGCATAGCTTAATAGCGGCTTTCCCAGAATGGCTCCTTTTACACATGTTCATTATTCCAGCATTTTTCTTATCACTTTCTCCTCAAACTTAATTGTACTGTGTTCCAGAGAATTTCAAAGCTTTGAAGATCAATCAACGTTTTACAACTGGAACCAGGATCCAAAAAAGATAAATAAGATAAAATATAGTGGCTGGAACTATTTTTTAAGCTTTTATGTTGCTTCAACTGTAGCAAGTTCTATGTACCATACACTCCAATTCAACAAACAGGTTAAAAAAATCCAGTAACACAATATAACAGAAACCTATTCCAAGTCTTTCTGTGCTAAGGAATAATCATATTAACTATATGATTATTCATACTACAAGGATTCAAATCATTCATACTACAAGGAGGATTCAAACTTTAAAGTCTTCCTGGGAAAGCCAAGTTTTAATATAATTAGCACTGATCTAATTCTGCAGGGAAGATCGTTCCACAGAAAAGCAGTAAGAGAAAAGGGCCACCTTCATGATGGTTGATACTGTAGTAACTCTCATGTAGACTGTAAACCCAAAGGGAATCCTACCATCCAGATCTTACTAGACAATCAGGTAGTGCTGGGAGCTTAGTCCCAAAAGGTTTAGTATAAGAATTATTATAAAATAATAATTAGGAATACAAGGAGGATTTTTTTCCCTTTCCAAACTGAGTTGCATGTTATTAAGTTGGAGTCAACTCTTAATGACCATATACAGACCTTTTTCATGATATTCTGCCCTTCAATAAAAGAACTGACAAGATCATTACCTTTTTCAATTTGGGGAGTTTAGGGAGATTTGAGACAGAGTACAGTCCAACATTTATTAGGCTGAGAAGCTCCAAGTTCACAAACTTTTCTGTGAGTCCCTCAATTTCACCACCAGTTGATCTGCAGTTATCAAGAACAAGCTCTTTAACCTGAAACACATACATACAATGAAGTTATTATTTCTTTTGTTGTATTTTTATAACTATCAATATCAGGAATTCTATGGATGATTCATAATTAAAACATTATAAACAGTAAAATAATGGAATGCAAAGCAACATATAAAGCAATATAAAAGATGTGAACAAACCAAGAACACCAATGTTAATCAATAATAAAGAGGATGTCTTAGCTATAGAAGTCAGCTGAGTGACTTTGGACCAGTCACTTTCTCTCAGCCCAACATATGTCACAAGGTGATTGTTGTGAGGAAAGTATGAGAAGTGTGTTGGTTATGTCTGTTACATGTAAAAATAATAAAGGGGGATACAAATACATTTTAAAAATTCCATAATGAAGCAACACGCAAACTTCACTGTGTTCCATAGCCAGGACACCATTACAAGTGGATTTTTTTTTTTTTTTGCAATCATCCAAGTTCACTAGATGAAGGCACCCAGAGGAGGTCCTTGGATGAAGGTGTTGGAATTCTGGTAAATACAGGACATGCTCTTTCGGATATGCTGCACCAAGGCCTACATCTTTATGTATATTAATACCCATCACTTTCAATTAGACCTGACAGTATAGATGGCAACGTAACAGTATAATGTAATTGCATAAGTTAATTATAATCTACTGTATCTTGTTTTTAATTAAATGGAGTTTTTACAGTTTTCAAAAGGAGCTCCCAGTATAGCATATTGTAATACTGTAATAATACAAATAGGAGGTTACTAGAGCATGAATAACTACTGCAGAGCTATTTGTGTCCAATTATGTCATAGTGGCTTTATCAGCCAAAGATGATAAAAAGTATTGTTGAGCAACCATTGAGCCTCTAGTGAAAATGATGGGTCCAAAAGTTTCTCCTATTTCTTAGAGCAGAACTGACAATCTACAGCTCTTGAGCTTCCCTTTTTAGCTGTCTTGAGTACCACTGCTAAAAACTTGTCTTTGACATGAAAAATAGACAATAAGCCCTAAAATGACTTAAGTCAGGGGGCCCCAATCCCTAGTCTGCATCCTGAACCCAAGCCGCACAAGCAGTGGGCATGCGAAGCTCCATTTGTGCTTGTGGCGGGTGCGCATGTAAAGTCACCCCCCTCCCCTCCCCCCCACCCTGCTGTTGCCAGTCCTCAGAGCTGGAGAGATTGGAGAGCACTGATTTAAGCCAAACACATTAATAAAAAAATATGCTCAATCATATCATACTAGTAAGTAATACTGTACTTTGTCACCTCTACTAACAGCCCATTTCCAATTCAAATTCACGGTGTTGATATTAACATATAAAGAACTGAATGCTTAAAACCGTTTATTTGAAAGGGTGTCTCCTATTTTGCCTACCAGGAAAGAGGCTTAAAAATCTTCCACATGACCCAAAAAACTAAAAAGGTAAACCAGTCCCACCAATTAGTATAATTACATTGACTACTGTAGCCCTTCTCCCAAACATTAAATATGATCCTTAGCCACCAAAGGTTTCCCCACCCCCTGCTTAATAGGAAAACAAAATAGGATGAACATTTAATTGGACAACTATTCAGTGAGAATTTTGAATGTCCTAATTACAGAGCTATGGAGCTAGAGCAGCAGATAAATGAAACCAATGGTTACCTTTTAATTATCTAAAGCAGTTTCTTTCTTTGAGATCACATGAGACGTGCAACAAAGATAAGCAATAGACATTATAAGAATAATTTGCAACAGGCTCTATCATTCCATTTTGACTCATGTCTAAAAAGATGGCTAAGGGCTTTCCTTCATTGGTTTGGCTAGCATGATGATGTGGAATCTGTGGGCATTTTAAATTTAACATCAGTATTATAATCGGACACTAACTTCTCTAAAAGTCTGCTTAAGCTATGTTACAATATGTTTGTTATATGAAACATATCAGTTTGTGTTGATGACTGAATATAACAATGAAGGCTTTGGCAGTTATGCTTATAAATTCATAGAATCAAAACATTACTTTTCATTCAATGGAAAAAGTCCTTGAAAGCTAACATTGATAGGTCTTTGCCTCTTATTAAAGGGAGTAGACCTTAAAGACAGATCAGCAGGAAATATGGTAGAAGGAAAAAGTATGACACAAGAATAGCAAGTCCTATGGGAAAAGAACCTAAAAGTACTGAGATCAGAACACTTATAGTTCTGGTTATAGTTCTGGGAATATGGTTTGGGGATAAACATTATCCTGACAAAATAAGTTGAGACAAAATCTCCAGGAAAAGACAGAAGAATCCAGCCTGTCAGTGATAAGGAAATCTTTATACCTGCACTACTGTTACTGTAAGAAAACAATCTGCTCTAACAAAAACCTTGTAAAAATAAGCCAAGATGTAGATTTGATTAGAATTATATAATTTACTTGTGAAAGTTAGAAATTTGATGAAGATAATGAAGGATGGAAATCTGGCTTTAGGCAGACTTTGGAGCTTTTCCAATCAGCATAGCTCTCCCACTCTCTGTCTCACTCCAACAACTGTATCTGATTACTAAAATTAGATTTTTTTAAAAAAAAATCTGTCTCTGTGCTTGTTCATATTTTCACTTTCAACAAACAAAATTTAAGTTTAAAAAATATAAATTTGGGGGTTCTCTTAATGGAAATAAATCTCTGCTGGCCCTCTACTAATTTACCTCAGTGTATCTCCCCTGTAAAAATAATGTTATTCGTCTTTAACTAGTTTGGGAATTTCATACAGTACTAGCATACCTACCTAATTTGAATTAGATAAAAATCTACAAGCAAGTCATTTCAATTAGTCTAGCGAGCATGAACATTAATTGACTCTATCTGCCTCAAATGCGTAAAGTTCTATTTGCATGAGCCTGTGACATCCCCCAGTACATTTTTGGGAACTGTATGAAAAATGATAAAACTTCATTTTGCAGCTGAGTTTATTGTTGGCTCTTATGTGTGTAACCACACACATGCATACACACAAACTGATGATAATTAATGTAGATTAAAAATGGAATAACAAAATATGTCCAAAATTTATTTGCTATATTTTACTCCTACCAGTATTTTAAAACATATTGTCTATATATAATAGAGGACTGACTGCCTGTTATCATTATATTTCGTATTTATTTTAGCATATAAGAACAGCCAATTCATGTTCCTTTTTCTAGTCAAGTAATTTTATGAAATTAAAACAAGACTGCCTGCATGTTCTGAGTAAACTTTTAAAGCATATCAAGTAGAGGCCAAATTCACTGCTAAGGAAGCAATTCCCCGTAACACAACTATGTATTTTTCAAACTGTTAAATCAGCACAGATTATACAGTAGACTCATAGTGTTTCCAAACAAGGTATTTTCAAAGTTTGCAATATAATAATGCATTTTGAAGTAAATTGTTATAAAATTATCAGTGTAAGAAAAGGAATAGTTTGCCCTTTCACTAGACACCATATAAATATCTGATCTTTATGATCAACTTCTACAAAAAGTTTTTAAATACACGTGAGTCATATTGAATTGTAGATATTCTTTCCATATTTACAAATGATTGAGCAATGTTTGTATAAACATTAATAAAATGTTATCTGTACCACTTAAGGAATATTGCACTACACTTTAAAACAATTTGGCAAATTCTCTAAATATAAATATTTTAATATTTAAAAAGCCATCTGCTTTTTTAAGGGCCCTAAAAGGAATATGGTAGTGGCTGAATTAACAAAACCCTTAGCAACATTTAGTTTAATAGATATATATTCCAGCTTAATTTTGTACAATATGGTACAGATAGTGTTCTCTCTTCCTATTACGTTTCAGCGTTAAAGAAAGTCATCATGGTTAAGTTAACCACAGGCAAGTATATTATGTTAAAGAATACTATTCATCTCTTCAAAGTATCCATAGGTGAAGCAAAAAAAAAAAATCAAGACCAAAGGTGACTTTGAATAATCTTATTTCATTCCAAGTTTAAAAGAGAATAATCCTTCTCTACAGGCTCTTTTGAGTAGACTTGAAACTACCTTGGGCTGACAGATGCATAAGAATGGAGTAACAGACAGGACAATTTTAAGATACTTGCCAAAAATGGCCTCCAACTTTAGCTGAAGCCAAAACTCAGCAGATACAAACTGTATAGTACAATTATGTACCTGTTTTATTTTCTGGGATACCACGCTGGTTTTTGTTAATATTTTTAGGCAGACAAATATTTTACTAGGATGCCAGAGATGAGACACATGGACAACTTATAGTTCCTGCCTTAAAATAAACAAGTGAAATGTGTAGGGGTTTTTTCTCCTGGCATCAGAGTACATATGAAGACTGTTGAAAAATATAAAGGGTTAAAAAAAGAAGCAACAGCATGGCTTAAAGTTCAGATATGTTAGGAAACCGCAGGCAAATTAAAAAACGGAAAAACCTTTGATTTATCTTTTAACTATGTATGGTAAGATATTTATATTCAATAGGAACCTTTATTTAAAAATAATCTTAATCAAACGACTTCAGAGCACGAACATACTTTTCTGGTCCAATCGTCCTGGTAAGATACCCATTAAAGACTCTAGTATCGCCCCCTTTACTGCTTTTTAAAAAATTAGGCTGCAAAACATTTTGTTATATTTCGCACCACAAAAGCCCTTCGAGGCCACCTTGAGCGTGTCGCCACTCGAAACGCATCATCACAAATCTTTCAAATTCTACCACGGAGGCCATCAGAATTGGCCGAAAAGCACCTTCCCTTTACGACGGGTTAAAAAGGAGAGACGTTTTTGGCGGGAACACGGTTTTGGTGAGGAGAGCGGAATAAAGAGGGCGCGCGCGGCCGGCTCTCTGCAGCTGCGGCCCGTTTAAAGGGGAGGACGCGAGACAGGAGTGAAGGCCCGAGCTCGCGCACGGCCAGCGGCAAAACAGGCGCGGCGCCGGGAAAGAGCGCGCGCGCCCCTACTTCCACGCGACGGTTGCCCGTTTAAGGGGGGGGGGACGCGCGCCACACACGAAGCGGTTGCTGCGCGCACGCGGGGCATCCTCGCGCTCCTCCGCAGCGGCAGCCCACGCTCGCGGGGACCGACGCAGCAGCAGGAGCGGCGGCGGAAACATGGCGGCCACGGAGTCCTTTCTCGAGTCCGTCAGACGTTGGTTTTGGACCCGCAGCCATACTTGCGGCGTTCCCTGGCAGCGCCCGCCCTCCACTGCTCTTTTAAGGCCACCACCACCCCGCCCTCCGCGCTTTAAATTTAAAAAACCAGCCCGCTTTCCTCGGGCCGGTGTGCGCGTGTACGGATGGCGAGAGAACAAGCTGTGTTGAAAAGGGAGGACGTCCCCGGCTGTTTCCCATTTTCCCGCCCAGGCTGGCTTACATCCGGAGGAGTCAGGTTTCGTAACTCCAAGCGGATCCGTTTCTTCATGTCCATGACGGCGGCGGGACGAACGGGACGGGCCCGAGTTCAGGCCCTGCGCTTACTGTGCCGAGTCAACTCGCAGGGAAGCGGCGGAGGGGGAGTTGCGGGGAGGAGGAGGAGGAGGAGGGCGGGAGCGCTGGGCGCCTCCTTCGCTGCGACTGCAGTTAAATTGGCAACGAGGCCCTTGGCTGGAGTGAGCCGAAGCAAAGTGCCGGAGTGACCGCCAGGAGGCGCAGCGGAGGCACAGAAGAGGCTGCCCGGAACTTCCTCGTCCAAACCCCACCCTTCTCTCCTTGCCGACAGTAACCGTACTCTCAGCCGCTGCGGTCTTTCGCCGGTGGCGCCGTATTTCTACAAGGAATGGCTGTTTAAACGCTTTTCCGATTAATTTTTCCCCTCCCCGCAGGAGATTTCCCATCCCGAGTTTCTTTTGACCAAGCACAACGGAAGAGTTAAGGTTCTCAAAATGTCCGCAATACAAGCCCAGATGCAACAACATATAACGCCGAATGTGTTCAGGAGTGCTGTTTCTTTCCTACCTGGACTATTAAGAATGGAGTTTACATCGGACGTTTCCCTGAGTGTGCTGTGTTTATCTTCGACATACGAGCCCTATTCGTGGATGAAATGCAGGGCTGATTTTATACGTCGCACAAAGTTCTACTAATAGTCTCAATTATAGTTCGTTGGATTAAAAAATAACAATCCTAAACACATCAGAATGTAGCCTAAAAAATGGAAATCGGTTATTCTGAGTAGTTGGTACGAACACATTCGAAGATCATTTCTATCATAAGTTTTGTATTGGCCATTGTTTTCTCTTGCAATCCTCATTTGTTTTCCCATAGCTTTGGTCTTTTCCCCCCTCGCAAGTACAGAGATAATATTATGAGGAGTAGATTCATTCAATTATTAAAGCAGGAGAAAAGGGAGTGGGGAATGTTCCTATAAGGTTACTGAAATTTGACAGCATAGCTTCCTACCATTTTGAGATAGGATCCAGCTGAAAATTATACGAGGCATCATAAATTTAAAATAAATCCCCTCTATTCATATTTCATAATATGAATTGAAAATATTCCTGTTTTCTTCATTAAAAGACAAGCATTTGGCAGAACTTGTTTTAAATCTGACCAGGTAGCAACTTCGTAATAGTAATTATTTATTATTCACCTGGTTGATTAATGAGCACAAGTGGGTTTTTTGTCATACTTGGTAGTCTTATGCCTCCTGGGTTTCTGGAATTTAGAGATAACTGATGGGTAACGAGAATGTTTATTTTTAATCTCTTACTACTTAAATCCCATGTTTATACCTAGACTTCTCATACCTTAAATATTTTGATTGCATAGACATGAACTCATTCAGAGTTTGTGATTTGCAAATTTAATAATTAAGTGAACATTGTGGCCTTATTAATGATGCAAGGTTCATTGAAATACCATATTTTCTTCTTTTACCAGATAATTAAAAATGTATATTATTTGTTAATAACGGTGTAACATACACAAATCAGTTAATAGTGTTTTCCTCAATATGGAGATCACTGATGCTTTTTGGCAACTGCAACTAAATGCACAGTTTGCATTTACACAGCACTGTAAACCATAAACTAATAATCATGTTTTAAACTTATGTTGTGTGAACCTGGCCAATGTAGTACTGTAGGTTTATGAATCAGTAAATGATATAAACCCTGAACATGGAATTGAATAAATAATCATTCAATTAACAATTATGACTCAAAATGTATGTCCTCCTAGTGAATGTCTGACAGGGAAAAGACCCAGACCCAAAAGATAGTTCAACAACTGTACTAAAAGTCAAAAGCCAGTTTGAACAATATTTAAAATTACTTACAGAAGGACAATAGCCAAGGGCATGTGCATGTGCGTGGGCAAGTTGTTTCAAAAGACAAGGCTACCACAATGATACTTTGGAATGCTGACCATCCCCTTCCTCAAGGGTTACACAGGGCAGGCAGATTATATTTGGGGGACATGATTCCTAAGAATGTATCTTGGATTAAATTATGAAATAGCAGAAAATATATCCTCCACAAAAGTTGAAAACCAACTAATTTATCCTTTGGGCTTTTCTGATGCTTATCATTTTTGAAACAAACTACCGTATTTCCCCATGTATAAGCACCCCCTTTGTATAAGCCACCCCCCCAATTTTTGGACTGAAGTTTTGAAAAAAATATTTTATTAGAGAAACAAGTTATGAAGAAAGAAAATTTACAAAGAAACAAAATTCGACGTCTAGATCTACAACTTCGGTCATGACGCCGAAAGCGGTGCGGGCGACGCTAGCAATCTACGCATCGGAACGAGAGTAGGAACGAAGCATTCAGGCCGATGCCTAGCGTATGCATTTCTATCGCGTACTCGCACTCGTAATCGTATCATCACATACAATTTTTACAAAAAAGTATAGCATACTGCTGGAAAACCAGTTTATTCCTACTTTATTATTTTATGCATTTTTCACGTATAAAAAGTGTACCTGCTTTGTATATGCCACCCCCCTACTTTTTGGGCTTGAAAATTTTGGAAAAAAGGGGTGGCTTATACATGGGGAAATACGGTACTAACTGTTAAATGTTTGCCTTACAAATTCTATGAAGGATGAATACAGATCAAATGTGTCTCCATGGATTTGCAAATTGTGTTCAGACTTGCATCTTTAAGAAATCCTGTACTATATAAAGTGTACTATTAATCACACATCTTGTAGTATTTGCAGTACTCCATTTATATGATGTCACAACACTTGTTTCAACAGCGGGTGATGCTCATGTTATATAATTATATGTTCTTGTTATAAAAGGAATGGCTGAATGTTATACTAATAAAGAAATGGTTCATTTTGACTAGCTTGTGCCAGTTATATTTTATTAAGAATAATTAAATTATTTGCATGGTCACAAATTTTTTTTTAAATTATTTATTTAAAATATCGGAATGGCAACTCATATTATATATAATAACTCTGGGTGGCTAATAACAAATATACAGATAACAAAAATTTAAAAAATGGAAAAACAGTCATGCTCTCAAGCATTACACAGGTACTGTTTGACTTACAAACATTCATTTAGTGACCGTTCAAAGTTGCAGCCACACTGAAAAAAATAATTTATAACTATTTTCACACTTGTAACCATTGGAGTATCCCCATAATCACATGATCAAAAATTGGACTCTTGGCAACTGGTTTATACCCTAGGGTCATGTGGTCACCTTTTGTGACCTGACAAAGTCAGTGGGGAAGCCATATTTGCTGAGGTAATTCTCCGTTAGGAGAATGAGCGCATACAGGGAGAGGTATTTGAGAGTAGTGTTTGAATAATACACACACAGCAAACAGATACACTGTACAGTAAATGTAGGTTTTTACTTCCAGAAACGTTTAAGCAAAGTTCAAAATAGGCAGTCCAAAAGTCATTCACAGGTAAGATAAGTCAGTTTTTAGTCCAGGGATAATCCAATAACAAATTCCAGTGTCAAAAACAGTTCAGTATCAGACTTACATCAAATCCAGGAATAGCAGTCAATTAGAAGAAAAATGGAGGAACGGCAATACTCTCCAACAGAAGAAAACAGAAACTTACTCACACTCTCTTCTGAGACTAAGACTAAGACAAAGCAGGTTTCTGGCTCCATCTTTTGGCCGTTTGAGAAACCACACCTAATTACAGTTTTGCATTTTCTTAAAGATATAGTTATAAAATGTTTATCCTGGTTTATATATTTCTAACCCAAATACCTGTTAGGTGACTTATATTCCTAACAATATTCACTTAATAATCATGTTACTGAACTGCAGTGATTCACTTAACAAGTGTGGCAAGAAATGTTATAAAATGGGGCACTTAACAAATCTCTCACTTAGCCATGTAAATTTTGGGTTCAATTGTGATTGTAAAATTGACTACCTATAACCCAGTAAGAAACCATAAATCATCTAATGCTTGAGGGGAAAGCCAGCTTTCTAGAAAGGTAGGATTCCTCTGTACATAGGGGGTGGTGAGATTGTTCCATAAAGTAAGCACAGCTATGGAAAAGCTTCCTAGGTCCCAACAGAAGGTACCATTTAAGGAGATCTGAAGTGGGTGCATCCAATGCAACCCAGTGGGGGAAGAGATCCTGAAGATAACCTATGGTGATATAGTATATAGAGCTTTAAAGAAGACCTTGAATTGTATCCAGAAATAAACAGGAAGTGCATGCAGCAGCAGTGCAGCATGGGCAAACTGCAATGCACTGTATACCACTGCATTCTTCACTAGTTGAATACAGTTGCTGAATGATCTTCAAAGGCATCACCATGTAGAATGTGTTGCAGCAGTCCAATGGGAGTGACCAGGGCATGAGTGACCATTCCTGGTGAAATTGAACATAATTGGGACACAAAGTAAACCCGTGCAAAAGCCTTCTGGGCCATAGCTGCCACCTGTTTCTTGAGCAGGAACGGTGAGTCCAAGAGGACTTCCACATTTTACAGCAATTCTATATGAAAGAGTGCCATCTCATCCAGAGTTAGGAAGTAACTCTTCAGACGCAGAGACCCCGGAAACCCAGAGTCACACTGTCTTGCTAGGATTGTGTCCCATCTAATTCCTTCCCATTCAGACCCTTACAGGTACTAGGTATGCACATAAACTGGCATCACCTGTCTGGCCTGGGACAGAGAGGCACCGTGATATGTCATCAGCCTTTTGGTGATTCTCTATCTGAAGCCATGGAATGAATAAGAGGGACATAAACTATTACGTCATCAGCCCATTGATGATACTTGACTTCAAGCTATGGAATGAATTCACCAATTTATGTAGATGATAAAGGATGAGAGAACTGAGCTCTGAGGTAGAGCTTGATTCCCTTCCACCCCCACCAACACAGACTGGAACTGTCCATGGAAGAAAGAGAACTACTATAAAGTAGGATGCTCCACTCCCATTCCTCCAAACCAGTTCAAAAGGATATGGCTAAGAACCAAGAGAGCCCTAATCCTGAATCCTCCAGAGATCACAAGCATGTTCAACACTGAACTCAGGGATCACCTTCTTCCAATCTGCTTGTTCCAAGTTATTTAGCAATAGCGATACCACTTAGACTTATATACCTCTTCACATTGCTTTACAGCCAGTTCTAAGCAGTTTACAAAAGTCAGCATATTGCCCTCAACAATCTGGACCCTCATTTTACTGACCTCGGGAGGATGGAACTGCCAAATTGCAGGCAACTGGCAGTCAGCAGAAGTAGCCTGCAGTACTGCATTCTAACCACTGTGCTACCACAGCTCATTATGCAAATGTATAAAATAATCTTAGGCTTTTTTGCTTCTCTTATGGGAATCAGATAGTCTAAAAAATGCAACCATGTTTACCTGTATGTGATTAGAAGAACTCAGAGTGGTCATTTCAGTTATTTCTCTTTAATTATCACTGCTCAGTCCTTAGTTGACCTGGAAAATCTTCATTAAATTTCTAAATTGAGAAAATGATGCATATGACTTGGTAGCTGCCACATCTAATCAGAGGTTTCTTACCATAGTCTGTAAATACCCTTCAAGACTGGCTGTGTTTGCATAATATACTGAACTACAATATATTATATGTGTTACATGTGTTTTAATTTCAGTCAATGTATAATATAAACTTACTTAGAGGGCCAAGATTAAATTAGCCACAAGTATTGTGTACATTGCTATTATTGAAAAATTGGATACAACAATCTTGTGTTTTTGCACCATTTGGCCTTGTTCATAAACTAGGAAACATTATCTAATTTAGCCTGTCATTTTCAATATTTTGCTGGGTCATACTTATAAAGTACTTATCAGTTTTCAACAGGCTTTAAGAACTCACCAGTTCTTGCTCTACATTTTAAAAAGAGTTTTGTGCAGGTTATTTGGAAAGCTTTAGGAAGTATAGTATATCTCTCTCTGTTATTTCAATGCTGAATTTTATATTTCTAATTTTAAGAGGTGCCAACAGACTATATATGCATTTTATACTTATCCATGGTTAAGCTAAAACATTGTTTATTTTCTGAGTTCCTTTAACAACACTGGAACAAAGATTAATCACAATTTAGTTTATATGAATTTAGCTGCAAATAGTTAAACATTTTAAAAGTTGATAAAGTTAGCATAATAGGATGTTGTCTTAGCATTGACTAAGAAAGTTTTAAACCCACTGAATAGTTAATGGATGGATGGGTTCACACAAAATGTGTATCTCAACTATCCATATATCTGTTCTGCAAACCTCAAAATATTTAGGATTAGAAATGAGATCATTCTGGCATTAAAATAATCAGGTTATTATTAGTCAAAGCACTTTCATTAGATCTGACATTATTGCAAATCCTAAACCCAGGTAGGTTAGCAAACTTAGCCTGCCTAGTCTGTTTCGCCAAGAAAATGAGATGAAGGTGCAGAATCTGAAAATTCAAAGTATTATCATTACCAAATTTTTACCAACACTTACCAGCTTAAGAAGACATTTCCCAACAAATGGGCTGCAGCACCCATACTACATTCACTGGAGCTTACTTAAATGATGAAAAAGAGTCATTCACATAATGAAGGCTTTCTAGCATTGTGTTTCAAGGGCTCTTGGAATACTGAAAAGTTGAAGGAAATAGGCAGGGATTCTTGTTCTCCATTATGGCATTCCTTAACCTACTTAATGTGATGGTATAGTGAGACACAACCTAGCAAACAAATTTATCCTAATGTATTGTATGGATCTTTCACAAGAATGATATGGAATTGGAGTAAAGATTTCCCATGCAAATGTCAATTTCAGGTAAAGAGTCCATAATGTAGCTTAATAACTGCATTTTCCCCAAATGTTTTCTAAAGCTACTGTTTTGATGGTTAATGTCTGGATATTCGAATAAACCATGTCTTATTAAACATATCTCAGCTGGGTTCATATACCATACATAAACAGCAGTTCACAATGCTGTTTATAAACAGTTGCTATATTTATTTTATGTTTATATTTATTATATGTTTATATATCACAGTGACTTGGTTCTCATATTGTGCCAAACTATGTCTTATGTGGCTAGAGTAAGAGAGTAATTCTTACTGTGAGATGTGTAGGGAGAAAATGTATGTTAATGTATGAGAGATTCTAATTCAGGAGTGTCAAACTTGCAGCCCGTGGGCTGGATATCTCATGCGCTGGCCAGGCCCATGCCCAGTTTAGCGAAGGGGGAAAATGTCGCAATATGTCACGTGACAATGCGAGTTTGACATCCCTGTTCTAAATGAAAACCATGGCTAAAAGTATCTGATTTGAAGCATATATTCCATATCTGCCATATATATATATGTTTTTTTTTACTAGTTATTTGTCTTTTCCCTTAGCTAGTTTGCTTTTCTGTGCAATCCATTTTGGATTATAGTTTTACAAAAATGTCCCTAGCACTTTTCTCAAAATGTAAAACAGGTCTGTAAAATGTGTTTGCCTGCCCTCAAAGTTGGGAGATTCCTATGGGATGAGTTTCTTCACTCCCAAGGCAACCTTTTTTTTCAAAAACAATACTAAGTTTATAGTTTTCATATAGAAAAAAAATAAGAAAATACTGTGTAGATAATTTCTTTATAACAGGGAAATATTATTGCTGAGCTTTACGATAGATTTCTATCCTTATCATAAATAACTTGAAAAGTTATGAAATCCTAGCCTCCCAGCTGATATGTTTATAAAAGTTTATAACAACAATAGTAAGCAATAGGTCAGTGTTATTTATACTCTATAACACTTATTCCAAAGCTAATGTGCAGTATAGTGTTTAAATCACTTAGGCAACCCAAAACAAAACACAACAGTTCAGACTTTTGATGTACAGTATGACCAAATGAAGTACTTAACTTGAATGACTCAATTCTAGCAGCTACCTTTTAAAGAACTACTCTAGTGTTAGCAGCAGATATTTCTTGAATTTCCATGACATTGACACATAACTTCTGAACTGTATCAGTTAAAATGATAAACATAGTTTGTGGCTTAGAAGAAAACTTTGAGTTCTCCATCCCTTCTATTAAAAATACTAATAACTCTACCTACTTTCTTGCCAGCAATAATAAGAATAAATTAGAAAAGCAAACTGTATTGAAACAGCATGATTGAACTGGTTATTGGTATTTCAAATAATTTCAGTACAATCCTTCATATTTAGCTGTCTGTAGGCAAAGCAGGATATAACAATAATAGCAGTGTTTGTATTTCTGCTCTATTCATACACGAAGTGCAGTGTGATAGGGTGGAGAAATTACTAAATTGATCAAATAAATTGGTTGCAGAAATTAGACACAACCATCTTCTGCTTTTTTCATTAACCATACAGATATATAGTTGCTGTTGTTGCAACTACTTAGTCTCCCAGCAGTCTGACAAATCTGTTTTTATCATTTTAGTCTGGTAAGTAAATGCTTATATGGCAGAAACTTTTCTGTTTGTTTTTTTAATCCACATAAAAATGGGAAAGGGAAAGATTCTACCCTGGTCATCTCTCTGATGTGCTAACTAAAGTTTATTAAATAAGCAACCATTGGGATTTTATGAAATATTATTAAACCAAAAACTGTTTTCAAATTTCACATGTTATGTCTTAGCTTGATAGCAACTATATATGAGAAATACATGTCATTTCTTTAGAAATCAAAGAGAAAAACTAATCTCTTATCCCAGAGGTTGGTTACAACCAAAATAATATAAAATCCTGTAGAATTTAAACCTTAATTTTAAAAACTTTACTATCTTTGTTTTATTATCTGTATATGAATAAGTACTCCCAGTTTAGAAAAGCACTGAGAGGGGAGAGGAGAAGGAAGGAGAGGGAAGGAGATAGGGAAATGGAGGGCAGGAGAGGAGCAGGAAAGAGGGAAGGGAGAGGAAAGGAGAGAAGAGGAGAGGGGAGAGGAGAAGAGGAAAAGGGAGAAGGAAGGAGAGGGAATTAGAGAGGGAAAAGGAATGAGATAAATATATAAAATGTTAGGGTATAAGTATGAAAATAAAGGTTATAACTATGACGCATAACAGTATGCAGTTAAAAGAGACTATAAATGTATGATTAAGAGAATACTGGTTATAACCAGGGTGTATAACACTATGTATATTTAAAAAGGACGGGATACAGCCAGTACACGGTTGTTGCAAGACTGAAAATGTGATGTACTACAAAGAAAAATTTACAATAAAATATTTATTTCAAAAAAAGCACTGAATGCTTCTGATGAAACTTGTGGCATAATAAACTTGCTGATCTTGAAAATGATTGAAGCTTTTTGTTGTTCAAGAAAATGTAATGTGGGGAACCGCATCAAGTGCCATAATAGAGTTAAGGATTCCTTCTTGATTAATAGAAGCCTGCAGCTTTTTTTTCTGAGTGCCTTGCCTTTGCATATCACAAAAAGCAGGAGGTGCATTTAGTTCCTTTTACCTCCACCCTTCTCTCTTGTCACTTTTAGTCTGCCCCACCTTTCTAGAGCAGCAAAATAATCTCATTTAAGCCCAGGGGAGGTGTCCAAAGGACAAGGGAAAAGGAACTCCCAATATTAAAAGGTAATACATATCAAAAATTTTACAGAGGTACATTTCAAGAATATGGTTTAAGAAGAAGGGTAAAAGAAAGTGGAACTTAGGCAAACTAAGAAATGCTAGTATTTCTAACATAACCTGGAGATTCTGGACATCATATTTCAGTTATTTGTAGTATTAACAGCAAAGTTTGATATGAAAATATATATAATATATACAAAGTTTGATGTGAAAAACTAAAGGAATTTTTCCATTGCACAATCTTCTTCAAAATAAATTGCTATACTGTAAATGTGCCAAATGCTTCTATTTATTTATTTAGGCTATGTTTTTAGAATTGTACTAATCACTCACTACAACATTAATATACATAAAAAAATCTCAGGATTATTTTCTCATCTAGATTCTCTCATTTATTGGGATATTCTGGGAGAACGGAAAGCATAGGACAAGGGATTTTTAAGCCAAGTGCATGCAAATATATATATACACATAGATCTGAACAGATTTTTTTCCAGAGAAGAATTCTTATTGTGTCTAAATGCTGCTTGCAATTTTATCTAAGAAACTGTTCTTTCCAAAGCTGTTTGAGGAAATAATTATTTCTAAATGGTGGGGTAAGGATCTTTTCCCAGGAATTTCCAAATGTGCAATGTTTGGAAAATGGCACATTTCTAATGATAAAATAATTATTTCAATGTGAAGAAAAAGTGTTTGGAAATTGATATGTCAGACTTTTAGCACCTTTGCAACTTGATAAGAAAAAATAGTATTAACATAGCCATGTCCATGGCAGATAAGATGTGTAGGGCGGGTAATCTTTTTCCCCCCCTCTCCGTTTTGGAAACTCTTTTTGCACTAAACCATTAGATGCATTACATGATCCTACGGTGGAGCTCAGCTCCTGTTTCTATATAAATATTAAAATAAACTGTTACAGATGGCAAGTTTAGAAAAGGATCATTCATACTCTGGAAGCCCACAGCAGCCAGAGGCTACACCTGAAGAGTATGCAGTTGCAGGTAATGCAAATTGTTTTGGGAAATGGGTTGCTTTTGGGGAGACAAGTTTGCATTTTTTTTCTTCCAAGGATTACCTGAACTCTGATCCTTGCCCATGATATACCTCTGGTCTTATTTTGCTTTTGTTGAGTAAACGTTGGGAGGCTCTTCTGCAAATATTGTTTGTATGCACAGCACCTTTAGGCTTTTACCTTTAGGTAAAAAAGAATCAGAATATAGCAGAAGGTTATCCTCTCTACTTTTAAACAGCTTTAGACTGGACTGGGATGATCAGTTTGGATCTGGATCTTTTAAGCTCACTGGGTGATCTTAAAAAACTCCACCTAATTTATCTTGCAAGGTTGCAAATGTAGAATGAGGAAGTATAGGATATAAATATGGACGAGGAGAATGTGGATTTGTTCAAACCACTTCCATATTAAAATGTTCCATCTGTCTTCATCCTCAAAACTCCAAAGAGTAACCCAACCTTGGCAATACCTAACAAACGTATGTATCCTTATAACATTGTTTGCTACAGTGATGCAAATGAAAGAAACCCAGGGCATCTGCAAAGGAAAATCAGAGATCAAGAAAAATACTGAAGTATCTACAGTAGAGTTAGCCACCAATTAAGTCAAGGGAACAGATGCAAGCATTTTATTTCAAGTGCCAGGAAAGATGTGCTAATTATTACTTTATTGCCTTGGTTTTATTGTCAGGGAAACAAAGAAGCATTGATGGGATTTTCTGCCTCAGATACAAAAATAATTTGATCTTATGTTGGGTGACTTCATGTGTACTTTAACTTATGCTTTGGGTGCTGTTTATGTTCTGCCTCAGGCAGCCAAATGTATAAGACCCACTGCTAATTCTCCCCACTCCTGCCATAAACTGCCATGAATAATAAAAGGAAAAGCAGAGACAAATGTGAAAAATTGACAGATAAATACCATGACTACATTAGACTTGTTTTCAGCCCAGGAGTGGGAACATGGGATAATACGGCTGGGACAATTGGCATGAGAAAACAACAGAAAGAAAATTTAAAAACTCTTTCTGCTAGTCGGATGTTCTCCTGCATTTCTACCATATGTGTCCATTATGCTCATATTAGCCTTATAAAGATAGAAATCCTATTGTTGAACTCTAGCTTGAACTCAGAATATCCATTTATAAATACACAATCACAAATTGTATAGTCCTTTTTATTTTTATTGTAATATTGAACAAAGACATAAGAGCAGATGATGTTGCCATAGAACTGCTGGGTTAGGCAACTATGGTCCTTACTGTGAGAGAACAGTTTAACAAACCAATTTTTCTGCTTTATGCTCCACTTTGAGGGGGGGGGAAGAGAAATACAGTATTATTTAACTTTTTTTTTCATTGTACCAATTGGACAATACAAAGCAAAAACTATAGAAAATAATAAAGTGTAATGATGAAAGGAGAGACTATTGGTGCACTAGGTAGTAGCCAAATGGTATATAAAGAAAAATATATTTATATTGCAAGATACTTGGCACTTTTCTCACCTTCAAAGGCTGGAGGATAGATTCCTTTCATGCATCGAGAGACTTCACTTGCTGCTGAAGTGGACACTATGCATAATATTTCACATTTGGATTGAAAAAAAAACCTTTTGTGATGTGCATGATTTCAAACCACAGAGAAGCATCAGGTGGCAGGTGTTAGTAAATATGCTGATGCAAGGTTTTTTTTCTTTGTTTTACGGTACAATCCATTTAAGGTGGATACCCTTTTAATACTTATATTTGAATACCATAGAATATAAATAAATGAACTTTGAGGTGTCACTGAAAAGACTCAGTGCTGTAGCTGATGTGCTTCTAACCATAAGAGTGGAGACAATTTATGTCGTGTCACTTCTCCTCTTGATAATCTCATATTATAATAGCATTATGAACAGATTCTAATGAAGGAGTACAAATGTCCTACACTTTGGGGAAACCATTACCTGAGAAAAACATTTAAAAGTATTTATAATCAAGATGCACTTATCTTACATGTGTCGTGCATCTGTGTCAAAGGTGAATGAAATGTAGATTCTGTCACAGCTAGAAAATTAAGTTATCACATTTTATAGCTTTCATATTTTAATGATTATGAAATATCATCCTATAATGGCTATAGAAAGAGGTCTTTATAGATTGTTTCCCCCCCCCCAAAAAAAAAGGAAAAAAGGGGAATTTCCCATTGTGATATTGGTCAACCTGAATGTTACTCAGATAAATGTTGATACCACATGGAATCTGACATGCCCAAATCAACAGGCCGTACAATAAGCTTTCTTAAAGTTGTTCTGTGTATGTTATCTCCAACAACAAAAAATGTTTCTAAGTTCAGAATTCATCACAAGTACAGTTCTACCCATGTTCTCATTCACTGTTTGGACAAAAATGTCTGATCTCATTTCTCTAATCTGGACAAGCTGACTCTTTCTGCTCTCATTTGGAGTTGTGATAGGTGGGTCAAAAGGGACACACAACACAGCAAAATGCACAGACTTGTTTTTAATGAAATGAACAGTACCGCCTGCCAGGTTACATTACAATGTAAGTGTAGCTAAATAGACAAACATGAACACAGGCTGTGTACAATTATATGAAGCTACTCTACACAGAGAATGAAGTTTTAGTATTTTTAAAAGCTTTGGCTGCATAATTGCTTATTGAATTTTGCATACTAAAATAATATTTTAACAACTGAAGTTGTTTTAACAAGGAAGTAAAATAATAACATTCATTCTGATTGTGACTTACCATGATGTTACTATTTCTCTGGCTTCTCTCAGCAGATTTTTTTTTTAATGGAGACAAAAAGTGAGCACATCTGATAAATCCTTCAGCCATTATGGAAAAATTTAATTGGAATAATGTTCCCTTTGTTTTCATGTAGCCAATTAAATACTTACGTTTTTTGAAATTCCTCTCCTTAACCATCATGCAAATATTCATTGTAGGCATTTCATGTTCCAAACATAACAAAGAACCCAATATATTCTGTAATAGTTGCTGAAATGGTTCTGTCATTGCTTTATTCAGCCTCTATTCCTGCAATATCTATTTAGATTTCTTAACAGCGTAATCTCTTAGCATAATTCATGCAACTTTTGTTACCTCTTGCAGATGTTGGCATTTCACACCGTTTGAGAGACCGAGAGCTTCTCAGAAAAAGAAGAGCAGAAGCAGAAGAAAAAGATATTCAACAGTGGGTTCTGGGGTAAATTAGGATGGTGACGGAGTGATGTTTTTTTAGAGTTAAATCAGTCTGTTATGTGTTTGTTTGCACAAAGCTTTTAAAAGGATGCTTTGTGTCTAAATAATGACACTGACCTTACTTTCGCTCTCATAAAAAAACAAATTCGTCACATGAAAGTTTAACCAAAATTGGTACAATAGATTTCTCTTCTAAGAAAAATAAGAAATCTTTTTTGCTTTTCCTCATATAGAGCTCTCTTCTAGTACACCTTACAGAGCTACCCTTCTTCTTTGCCAGTATTTCACTCCAACTCAGATATTGAAGTTTTTACTTATTCCATTCCTAGGTAACATGACATTCCCCCATTCTCTCACTGACACATATGTATTCACACAAATGATTGGAATTTAGATGATTCTAAAAATGCATCTGTTTTATTTAGCTGCACAGTAACACCTACTGAATCTACTCTATGCCCAGGAAACAGAATTATGCAGTTATTACCCTATGCCAATAGAACAGATTTGCAACATTTAATTTAAAATAACGTTTTGCAATATTTAATATTTGGCATCATTCATTCTGCTTCTTATAAAGGTATGAGCAAGGAGCTATAGTACATGCAAAAAAATCCCCCTTGATCATGGAACATTCTGTTCAGCTTTCATTTTGGCTTCTGAAATTTCAATAGGTACATTTTTGTGTCATAAAGGGTAAAACCTTGTGTTAGTGTCTGTGTCTTTGTGTTTGTGTGTGTGTATCTCCATATATCAATATATCTCCATATAAGTTGCATCTATACATAATGTCAGGTAGGTTTTTTTTTGCCATTGTACAACGCCCTTGGAAGATAAGGCTTTGAAATTCAACCAGGTTTGAATTTTTTTCACAGCTTTTCATTGTTGCTGCCGCTATTGTTATAAGATCAATCCTTTCCACCCACACTGCATTTATTAAGTTTATTTTTTGACCCCATGTTTACATAATAGCCACATAAAACAGGGCTGTCAAACTTGCAACCTGCAGGCCAGATGCATCACACGTTGCCCATGCCTAGAAGGGGAAAACAGTCCTGACCTAAAGGAACCCCAGCAAGGAATGGAACTGTTGGGAGAACTATGGGAGATAGGCAGCCATATAAGCATTCTGAGAAAGAAAGGAAGAAACAAATACATTTACACTTCCTCTGCTACTTGGGTATGATTATGACTTTGAGTCCTGCAGGATGTTGAATCACTGATCAGGAACACATTCAATTCTCTCTTGAATTGAATGGAAAAAGTGCTGAATAAATAATCTTAACAATCAAGCTGAGAATTTTAATGTGATTCAAGAAGCGAGTTAATGGTTTAGTAAAAAGGCCCTTCGAAGCAATTGGTCGGGTCCTAGAATTTACAAAATTATAGTATATAAAATCATACATTGAAATGTCCTACCTGTCAACGAATACTTCAGCTTCAACCATAACAATACAAGAGCACACAACAGATACAAACTCAAGGTAAACCGTACCAAACTTGATTGCAGAAAATACGACTTCAGTAACAGAGTGGTCAGTGTCTGGAATACTCTACCTGACTCTGTGGTTTCTTCCACAAACCCCAAAAACTTTAACCTTAGACTGTCTACTACTGACCTCACCCCTTTCCTAAGAGATCTGTAGGGGGAGTGCATAAGCACCTACGGTTCCTATCCTATTGTTTTTTATTTTTCTTATATGTATCCATTTCATGTATTCATAACTATGTTTATACTTGTACCTGTTATCTTGTCAGTGATTGACAAATCAAATAAATCAAATAAATCAAATGAAATGATTCTTATGCATACATTCACCTAGGGAGCAAAAGAGACACAAGCGAGCACGGAAAGGAAGAGCAACTGGAAGGGGCCGGGGCCGGCATCAGGCTCCACAACCAGAACCACAACCAGAATTGCAGTCAGAGGAAGCTGAGAGTCATGAAACACAGGTAGCCGCAGTGGAGGAGAAAGCTGAAGTCACTCATGGACTCCATGAAGAATGCTCTGTCCCTCTGGTGGTAACGGAAGGGCTGTATTCCCAAGAGGAAATAACTCCATCTGTTTTCAGATGTGGTGAGTTCTGTAACTAGCAGCCTTTGAAAATAAAAAGCTCTTTTAGTGAGAAGCGTATTATTTAACCTAAAGGAAATTTGGTCTGGATGATAAATAAGCTGTCTGAAATAATTTTTGGAGAACATCTTCCCTGTTCCTTTCCAATGGTCCTTCAGTTGCATTAGATAAGAGTCTAGTACAAATGTGTCCAACTGTTGTGGTTAGCCGGCATCAGGTGTGGACGACTGAGGAGAGCGAGGACTCAGATGAGAGGCCAGGACCATTAGGGAGTGGACTGCTGCTTTCAGAGATTGTGGGGGCTGGCAGCAGTGATGAGGAGGTTCCTGAGGAACCTGTGCCAAGTGCACGTGCATGCAGGGTTGCTCGCAGGAAAGAGCAGTTACAACTGCATGGGCAACTTGGGAGTAAGCCTGCAAGGTAATGGCCCCTCCTTCAAGAAGATAAAAGCCAGCTAAGAAACTAATCTTCTTTGCAGAAAGCAAAGACATTTTGAAACTACAGCCTCATGGACATTCCAGTATCCTGAGTTTGTATTTGAAGATTCTTATTTTGAAAATTATTTCTTGTCTGCTATCTTTTGTCAAGTCTCGCACAGTTTGGCGAGGCTTGTGCTTATCACACCTAATTGTTTTGTAAAAGCATTACTAGGTTTCTGTTCTTTTTGAATTGTGTTTGATTTGTCAGAAAAGACCGTGGGTCAGAATACCAATCTTGGCAACTTTAAGACTTGTGGCCTTCAATTCCCAGAATTCCATGCTGGTTGGGAATTCTGGGAGTTGAAAGCTACAAGTCTTAAAGTTGCCAAAGTTGGACACCGCTGTACTATTAGCTACCTCAATTTTATTACACAGAAAATAAAGTAGAAGTGCAGTGATCCTTCCTGGATTATTGAACAGTAGGGCCCTTAGATATAATAAGAGCAATGCTGTCATATCTGATCTGCAAGAATTCTGATGACCATCTGGGGACAACAAAGAGCAGATATCTTTTGCAATGCTTATTTGTAGCCCTAGTTTAGAGTTTTGCCGGGACTGTTAAATTTTAACTTAGCCAGCTTCTCATTTCTTCTATCATTGTAGTGCCTCCTGCTCTCCTTTAGTATTTTTTTTTGCCAAAAGGACAACTGCAATAATATCAGGGCCCAATGATAGATTAACATTTCTTTAATTGATTAGTTCATTCGTTCTGTTTGCATAGTCACCCATCTCGCTTCAGTGATCTGGGCAGCTCTCAACAATTAAAACAGTACTCCAAACAAAAATCACATTAATACAAAGCCTATGAACATACAAACTGTCAATAAGACTGGATTGAAAATAGAAAAATAATCCTAATCAGTGGCAGAATCCAGTTAAGGCCCTGGCTTTCTGCACAGCCACTGCAGAGGTCTCCTCTACCACTTGATCTCCAAGTATGGTGGCAAAGCCACATTTTCAAAGCCTTTCTAAAGGCCAACAAGGCTGGGGATAATCTAGGTTCCAGAGAAATGATGTTGTAAATGGCAGAATAGGCTCTTTTTGGATCCCATTAGATGACACTCCTTCGTAGATGGAACTGGCAACATGCCACTCTGGTGGGATCTGATGAAATAGGTAGATGTAACCAGGGAGAGGCGATCCCTCAAGTATCATGGTCGCATGCCATACAATGCTATGGTATATATTTTTAATCCTTTGCTTGGGATATTTATATTTAAACTAGGAACATGATATGGGATATTTCTCTCTACTGGCATTCAGAACCTTCCACAAGTACTATTGAAATATAGTGTAAATGTATCACAGATCTGATGATAAGTCCCTTGCATCATATGTAGTCTGGCCTTTTGTGTGTAAGCTCACTTTACAAAGTAGAAAATATTTTTAATGGAATTAGTAAACTCTAGATCTTTCCTAGAGAGTTAATGATGAGTCTTAGGAAATAAAATAGATGTACAGGTGGTCCTCAACTTACAACTGCAATTAAGGACCAGAAATCCTGTCATAAGTTGTTATAGTCAAAAGTCAAGACACTTCCAGTCGAGTTTCAGTCGAGTTGACTGAAAGTAATTTTCTGGGCCTTTTTGCCAAGATCATAAAGCAAATGTTGCACTCGTTAAGCAAACCCATTCATTTGAATGGGCTTTTTTTTTTTTTGCTGAAAAAAGCTAAAATGCAAGAAATTGGGGGCGGGTGGGGAAACATTGTGAATCAGGGTCATGTAACTGTAGAATGTTGCAACCGGTTGTAAAACAGACTCATCTGACAGATGGTCACATGTGTGTATGTGTTTGTTGCAACCATTTATGACGGCCGCCAAGGGTGCTTTATGGGATGTAAAGCACCTGTTGGATGACTGTCATAATGTTGTAAAGTGACCTAATCAAAATATAATTGGTATTGAATTTTAAAATAAGATTACATATTAGAAAAAGAAGTCTATAGTCTGCCCTGTAGCTGTAAACAAGGCTATTGCTTTTCAGGTTGAGGGAGAATCTATGACATTGCCTATGTTAAAGTAAATGCAGCTTTCAGTTCAGTTGACTTCTCTTTGTGGGATGGGAGAGGGAAGTCTCCTCTCGTGTCTTTCCATGTTTCTTGTGCCAGCATTGGGAAAATGTAATTCTGTAATTCACTGAGATTGAGGTGGTTCTGCCATCAAAAGCTTGATTAACTACTGTAGTCCAGCTTTAATGGACAGAAATATTAAAAAGACAATTTTAATATCTATTGCAATTTATTTTTCATCATTGCAGTCCTTTTTGTGCCTGTAGACTTTTACTTTAAATTAAGATTTGAATGTAACTTTTTGTTGTACTGAAAAATCTCCAAGAGGATTACAGGGAAATAATCACAAATACAGTGATTTGTGAGAGTCCATAAAATATTTAAAGTGGCTATGTCCTATGGAGCAGAGAAATAGCATCTGGCTGATAGATCGTCTAATTTTTACCTTACAAACACTCTAGAATTAAAACTAGAAATTCTTCTAACATGATTGTTATGAAAACAATATTTTTCACAACAATAGTGTTAAAAAGGGCAGTTAGTTTAAATTCTTCTTTGCTTCTGTTACTATGAATATGTCATTAATAAAAAGAATATTTGAAGACATTATTGACTGTATAAACAATTTGGGAGTTGATGCTTCACTCCTTTTTGCTTAGTTAGTGCTTGATCTTGGCTAGAGCTTGATAGTGCTTAGATCTTGGTTATAGCTATTACCCAGAGACATCCGCATTATTTAGACTAAACCAATAGAAATATTTGTATGTGATACCTTCTTTACTCTGCCCCTCCCCCAGCTCATCAACCAGGAATAGAGGAGACACCAAGACCAGAAGGATCAGAGGAGCCTCAGTCTTTGGAAAATGATCACTTGGAGCAAGATTTATTTGGCTTTTAATTGAAAAGTTGCTTGTGGATAATAATTATTCCTATTCAATGTGGAAAAGTTGTTAGACTTACATGGTACCTGTCATTCTTGTGTGAGCAATAAAAAAATCTGGAGGCCTTTCTCGTAATTTTCCTGCCATTTCTTCTTTTCAAAATACCCAGTGACTGTGTCTTCCTTTGGAGGATGCAGGACAAGGGATTTTGTATTTTGTATTTTTTTTTAATGTTCGGTTTACTGACCTACACTCAAATGAAATAGCTTCTTCATCTAAGTATTTTTAACATGCCTTAGCCTGGAATTATCATTATCTTCAACTATGATGATGGAGAACAATGGTAACTATCCAAGACATCGTGTAGCTCCAGGCTGGAAAAAGTTGAAATGGAGGCAAGCAGAATTTCTCTGCCAGATCACTTCTTCACATCAGAACTGTCTAGAGGGAGACATTCTACATCCATCTATAGTGCTTTGTCTGCATATAAATAATGCGTTAGAACAGGAAAGAACAAAGATGAATAATGTAGAGAAACACGCAAAGACAGATACCTCCCCAACATTTTTTTCCTCCTTGTTTCTTATTTGTAGTCATTAGGCAAGTGAATGTTTGTGCTACGTCATTGTGTAGATGGGACCTACATGACTGAATGCACCTGTTTTTTTTTAATCCCTTCCCAGAATTAAGCAGGAAACAATAAATCAATTATTCTGCCTCATTCATGCAAGTTTTTAGACGCATCTCAGAAGCATCGTCTCCAATTTATATACTTCTGTCATTTCCCACAATTATTATTTTCAAATAGTCCACTGAGGGGAAAAAGTCAAACAACTCTAGGAGATCTTTAGATTGATAACATTTGGAATTCTCTATTTAGAACAATTCAGGTATCGAATAATGGGTTTTAGCCCTATAGTCTTCTTTTTCCTATATATAAAATATAGACATGTGTGTTTGAGACCATGCATGTGGAGCCCATAACAGGAACTAAGTGAGTAGTCCATGTGTACATGTACAGAGTAATATAATTACACACATCTCCTACTTTGCTGATTTCACCTGATAAGAATAATATAGGCTAGTGAAACTCCATACACTATTGACATTTTTACTTCACAATTCTTAGAAGCAGCTTGAAGGCAATCCATGGTCAGAGTTTGGAACAGATGGATCTGGAGATTTGGAAATATTTAAAATAATTAATAAGTCAATTTATTGCGGAATTTCTTGTATGAGTATGTTTGGTTTCTGTATACCCTTCAGAGACTGTGGTAGTGAATGGTTTAGGAAACTAATAAATGAATATATATTTTACGAATTTGAAATATTTTGCATATTTCTATGATCCCTAATTGTCTTTGTGGCAAGAACAAGTGCAGAAAACTGCTGCCTGAACCTGAGCTAGTGGAATTCCTACAACAATCATCTCTTCTCAATGGATTCCTACTCCCTACAAAAGGAGTTGAAGAAAGAAAGAAGAGGCCAGGAGCCTAGTAGATTTGTCGGCTAATGAAGTAAATATGGAAACAAATTCCTACCAATTTTACTCATGTTCTTTCCACTATTGAAGAGAAGCTGTTAAATTATTAAACCCACATTAACCTTGTGGGACTTGAAACTCAAGAGCCAGGAAAAAGAATGAGACAAGAGTTCCATCCAATGGTGACATGGAGTTACAGCAACTTAACTGTAACATTAAATGCTGACTCAATACCTGCCCTTTTTGAGGTTTCAATTAAACCATGTCTGAACTGGGAATAGCTTTTCCTTGCTGCTAATATCATGGAGAATAGAAATTGAGGGCCCCTTTCAAGCTCGCACAGATTATACAAAGAATGACCTAAATAGTACTGATTTTGATGTTTTACTGCAGAGAAGAGCAAACTTCAAATGTCTACATTTTTAAATTTGGAACCCCAAATTTAATCAACTGATGCAAGGAGCAAAGAGTTGCATAAGTCAAGCACCTACATAGCAAATTTAAGGAGCATTCTACCTTAGAGCACAGAGCAGAAATCAAGATGATGCTTCCATTACTAAAATTGACTCTGGTGTTCCTTCCTTCTTTTTTTTTTTTTTTAATTTCAGCAGCCTAATTTGCAGAAGGAAAAGGCCTTTAGTTAATTGGGTGGGATTTGAAAACCTTTACAGATCTATTATCAATCACCCAAGATTTCAGCAAGCGTGAGTCTGCTTTCTATCTGCCTCTGCTTTGGTTTATTCGGTTTTTTTGTTCATTTTTATTTAAGAGCAATCGTTTTCCAATTGTTCTGGGGAATGTGCGGGAATGTTCCTCTAGACTAGAAAAAGCAGAAACATCCTGCTAAGAACAACTTTTCCTCCACTGCTGTTTTTCAACTGCAATGAAAGTCATTGTTCAGGGACTTCTTAGTTCGTGTGATAAAAAGTTTGGCCTAACCGGACTGCTCATCCTTTTGTATAGATGGAACCCATGCGTCAGAACATTCTCCAGATCGCCTCTTATATGTATGTGTTTTTTAATAGAAAGTCAGTGGTTGCATAGTGAGCTTTGACAAAAAAATGGATTGCTTCCCTAAGATTCAAACCTCATCAAAAGACCTTTTCAATGTTTTACAAATTATAAAATGAATGAAATACAATATCATCTACTGCAGTCTAAATTATCCAGGTGGAATTCTTTCTCAAACTGCCTTTAAAATAACTAAAATAGTTTGCTGATTTGCAAACAATTTCCACGGGGAAACAAACGGCAGATTTTTTTTGTTATAGAAAATACTAGAGACAAAATACACAATAGATGAAGAATATAAACTGCAACTGTTCTCCCATCTTGCAGAACAAGGAGAAAAATTCAATCCTTTTTCCTATGCCGTTTGGCTATAAAATTTACACCTGCATAGTAGTGATTTCAATACAAATCAAATCACCTGGTACTAATGAAAAATCAAAAATAGGGCTGTGGGAGTAGCAACATATTTACTACTTGAACAAAGTAGTAAATATAAGGCTTGAACAAAAGCTACCTCACTTAGTAGATCACTATCATTTTGTCTTGGGTTCTTTCTGTCTTTTCCAAGTAGAGGCATGTATACAGTAGATGCATGGCTGAAAATACTGAGAAAAATAATGGTCCAAAGAATGGAGCAAGAAGTATTTGAAGGATACAAGAGCATTCAAGGTTGCTTAGGACATGCAATTTGTTGGTACAGAATCTGATAGTACTTTAACAAAAAGGAAGTTTTTAATGTTTTTATATAAAACCGAATTCCAGAACTTCTTTTTACACCTATGCACATTTCTTGGACAACAAAGTCAGAAATTCAATAGAATAAAAGGGGTATCAATTGGTATATGGTTGAAGGAAAGTATCTTCATCTCAACTGTATAGAACTAACTGGCAATAAATTCAAGCAATTCCCACCTCTTCTCCTTTTACTAAATTAATTCAGTTTCTATACTGAACATAGAATTAACATATGAAAAGCAGGTGCTATCCGAATTACTTGTGGCAGCCATTAACTTCAAAAAAAAATTAGACACATTATACAGATGACGTTTCTCTCTATGATTTTTACTAAATGAAATCCATTTTCATAAATGCTTTACCTTAGAAAAGCTATACAGATGCTGGGACCAAACTATAGCAAGAATACGCTGAATTTCATGCCCTTCTAAGTATCCACAGGAATCTAATTAGCCAGTGTTTCTTAAAGAATGCTGGATTATGGCACTCTTTGTCTAACCCAGTAAGTCAAGTTTATCATCCTGAAGGAATGGTTGTCCATACCAATGACTCAAATTCTGCATATGAATCATATGAATGTTATGGTCCAAAATTTATTTCAAAACTATAGGTGCACGTCTACGGACATTGAATTTTGAATGTTTTCTGCGTTAAGAACTTATACACAGAACATTAAGGAAAAGCTCATTAGAACTTTTAAATTTAATGAAGCTTAAGATTTTTTGCAGCTTTTATATTTGTGTAAATATTCAAATGTTTCCTTATTTATTTAATCTGTTATTACCCTGAATTTGTAAAAGATTCTTTGTCATTTATAATAAATTAGTCTCTCTGTTGCCGAAGTCTGAAATGGTGCAGCCATAACAATTATATTAGTCTTGTTTGGATTTTGAACAGCTTTCCGCTAATGGGAGTCCTGATCACTATGGTTCTTATTAAAAAGCTAGTTTTTTGATCGAGGATTGCATGACAATAACCTACAGAATTTTACTGATTTTACTTTTAATGATAAGGTACAGTAATAGATTTTACATTTTACAGCTTTTCCTTGCATTTCTGCCTCAACTGCCAGTATAACAGTATCAAAGTCTTGATTGCTATGACAGGTAAGTAAGGCAGGATGAGCAAAAGATCTAAAAAAAAATTGTGTTGTTCTTAACTAATCAGGAAACATACAATAACTTTTATGTTTTGAATACAGTATGTATTTCTCAGTAGCAACCATTGAAGCTGAGCTTTAAAAGCAGGGAATTTACCGAATACGGACAAATGTCTTCTTTCTAGGGGATGAATTTGAAATGTTCTTATATTTTATGTATAAGCAATTCGCAAATGTATTCCTATCTGATTATATGGCTGACTGTACAGCTGCTAAGCATAAATTTCTACAACCAACAAAAATGAAAAGAAATCTGACTTGAGTCAATAAACAATAAGTACACTGAAGCGTGGAGGCAAGTTCAACGCAAGCTATCTAACTGAAAATAGCCAGCTACAAATCAGAACTTTCCAAGAAAATCAGTTTCAAAGGTTATTTATTGCATTTCCAAAGCCAGCAGAAAGCATTCTAACAGAAGGGTGAATCACTGACTCCACATTTATTTCTCCAAATGAACTTGTGAGTCACTGAAAACTTGACATTGAGGGGTATTAAGCATACACCTACTAGTTATTCATAATATTGCTAATAATTGGGCTAGGTAAAAAAAAAAGGAAAAGAAAAAGCTTACTACCTACTGAGGCTATTGCTACAACAGGTTATTTTGTAAAGAGGGAGCTCACAAAAGAAAAAGTGGAGGAAAGTTAACAGGAATGGGAAAGCACACAAAAAGGTCTAACGGGTTGCAATTGTCTTTGGTTTTAATAGGTGGTGCGCTTCATAGCTCACAGCATGGAAGGGTCCCTTGTATCTTCTCAACACCCCCACCGATGCAGCAGCGGAGTCACTAGCTTCATACTGTATAGTAGTGCATTCGCTTCACGAAGTTAAATCTTTAAACCAGCCCTGTATTGTGGACACCTCCATCGTCCTGTTCCTCTTACAGACTTAAATAATGGCGCTGATTGGCATATCGATGTGCAGTCGCACCGAATGAACGCCACAAACCTCCTGCCGGGGCAGGGTAACATGCTCACGATGGTGATCTAAGCCCAAGGGGAAGGTAATACAACCGTAGGTCTCACCCTCCCCCTGCCCTGCCCTGCTCTCTTCCAGCCCCCCAACAGAGTTCCTCCTTGGCTTCAGATGGCCGAAACGAACCTTTCCATGTTACTGGGGTAAGTGGTGTGGCGCAGGTAGGCTCCGGGACTACTGAGCTGTCCACTGGCATTGTACCCGTGAGCCAAAGAGCTGTAGGAGCTAGGCGACATCCTGCCATAGAAATCCATGGTGTCATTAGTGATGGGGGGTGAGGTAGGCACTCCTAGACGGGCAGAAGCCCCAAAGAGGTTACTGTTGCTGCTCTGGGAATAAGAGCTTTGGTTAACCTGGAGCTGCTGGGCACTGGGGATGGCGTAAGAGTAAGGCATGGTGTTGTGGGGCCTGCCTAGGCCAGAGGCTGCGGTGCAGGCTTGGTTGGAGTAAGCAGCGGAGGCCGCAAAGGAGCAGGCATTGCTAGGAGAGGAGTTTATGTCCACGTTATGCTGCTGCACCAGCTCCGGGCTCGGCTGGGCCATGAGGGGCCCCAGGCTGAAGAGGGGCGACTGGGAAGGGTAGCAGAGAGCAGCAGGAGGGGCGTAGGCCGAGCTCAGCGAAGGCCCGACGGGCTGGGCCGGCGCCTCGTGCATGTAGGCGGGATAAGTGGAAAGGTCGCTACGCTTGAAGCGCTTCCTGCGGCGCAAGAAGCTGCCGCTCTCGAACATGTCGCGGGCGTGAGGGTCGAGGGCCCAGTAGCTGCCTTTGCCCGGCCGGCCGGGCTCTCGGGGCACCTTAACGAAGCAGTCGTTGAGCGTGAGGTTGTGGCGGATGCTGTTCTGCCACTTGCGGGGCCCGTCGCGGTAGAAGGGGAAGCGTTCGGTGATGAAGCGGTAGATGCCGCCCAGGGTCAAGCGGCGCTCCGGAGAGTGCGCGATGGCC